AGACCTGCCAGTAGCTGTGCCTCCCTTTCTCATCGTCTCCCACCCTTCATCGAGTAGCAGCAGAGGCTATGGCCAACACTCTCCCACACACCACACACAACCCACCCGCGCTCACACTCAGACATTAGCAATTTAGCACGGCCCCTGCGCAAGAAAAAAAAGGAAAAAAAAAAAAAAAGGATGGGATTATAAGTTATAACCCCTTTGAACAMWYCACCTAGATGGCCCGGAAGGTAAYCTCTAATTTCTACCCCAGCTTCGTTCAGTAAGCTTGACCTAGCTCTCTGGAGGAACCCTAACGGAAGTACCAGTGACGATAGTCATACGTGAGGGGGGGAAAAAATCCAAATTTGCAAGAAGACGGTTAAAAAAGAAAAGAAGACAGTAAAGGAAAAGAAAAGTGATGAAGGAAAAAAAAAAAAAAAAAAGTGATGACGGTGGTCTACTGCAGATGAAGACGATAGTCAGTCAGACCTGCGATGGATGACGAGTGGCCGGATGCGCACGAGACCCCCCTACCCTGTCGCGACATGTGTTATGTTCCCTTGTTTTCCCCTTCCGAATGGTCGCGCAGGCGTTCTCCCGAATCTCCACCCCTCCTGCTGCTTGATCGCCCTCTTGTCTTCCGACGCCTGCCTGGCGGCCGTACAAGGAAACGGTACAGTAACTGTATTAGTACTCAACGATGTTTCTTCCCTCCTCGCCTCCCAGTCCTCCCTCCTCGGTTTCATTTCCCTCCATCCTCCCTTCCCTTCCTCACGGCATAGCAACCAATCGCCCTTGTCTGCCACCCCTTCCTCCCCCCTCCCCCCCCTGCCTCCTTACTTACATCTGGCTCTCTGTGCACCAGGCAGTGAACGCACGGACACAGCCGACATCGATCACCAGTGGCCGTTCCCGAGCGAGGGGGTGCACTGAGCAATGGCGGGCTCACGCGTCTCCTATGAAGGGGTCGCCACGGACAGCAAGACATGTGGCTCAGGAACACAATCGCAATCACGTAATTAGGGAACCAGCGCAGACTGTCACCCTCTCTGTCTCGTCTTCTACTTATGGCCAGTCCTGTCCCATACACGCGCGCACGTAGTACATGATGAGACCCAACGGCCCTTGAACTACACTGCTGATTAACAGCGAGCCAACGCCCCCCATGAAGGTGGTAACGAACATTAAGCCAGCCGCCGATCAGATTGATCAACGTCGGGCTCAGCCGAGTGCAAAGAACAAAGCAGCACAGCCACGCAGCTTTGGCGGGGAAGTAGAGGCCAACGCCAAGCAGCACGGCCGAGTGCAAAGAACAAAGCAGCACAGCCGACAATCATAGACAAGCAGCACAGCCACGCAGCTTTGGCGGGGAAGTAGAGGCCAACGCCAAGGCCGAGTGCAAAGAACGGAGTTCCGGCGAGGATGCCGAAAGAAGACCAGGCAAGATGGGGCTCATGGTAGCTGAGGCCTCTCTCGTTGCACCTCCAGTTTCCGCAGTAAACACTGCTGCCATCGGCAGCTGCAGAGGCATTGGCAAAAGTGCACTCGCACCTGGACAGCTGAAACAGTCTACTTCCGTCCTTGATCCCCTCCCAGCGGCTGCAGTAAGTCTCGCCATAGCTGACGCAGACGAAGTCTTCCTCCGAGGTGCAAGTCCCGTCGCAGTYGGTGCAGTTCCATGCTGCGCAGTAGTTCGTCTTGGCCTTTCGAGCCTCCGAAGAAGAGTCCACCTCGCTCACCGTTCTCGTGCAAGCGTACCTACTCTCCTGCCGTTGGACGGCACGAGGGGATCGCATGGTACTGTGGGGTTCCCCGCCGCTTAACTCGCAGCAATGGCTGCTTAGCCTCATGGTAGGGGCAATATCCACCAACTCGCCGCAATCCCAGCCAGCGCATCGCTCTGCTTCGTATCGAAGGCAGGTCCAGGTCCGGCAGTGCTCAGGACCCTGCTGCTCGCACTTGCAACGACCGGTCTCCCATTCCTCCGAGGACTCCCCACTTGTCCCCCAGCTCAGGCAGACGCTCCCGTTTGCTATGCTACAAGAACTTTTTTGGATCTCCGTCTTCCAATCGAATTYCCGGATAGGTGGGCCGCCGTTGTAGGTTGGAAAGCCGCGACAAAGATGGCCGGAGCGGAAGAGCGCATCACGCCGCGAGCAGCTGGAGARGTTTCGGCAGACACTCTTGTCCCGACRCGTGAAGGYGCTGGCGGAAGCGGAGCCGGCGCTAGCTAGAAAGACAGCAATGGTGATCGCAATAAAGATCATCATCGAAAGAGTGACGCCGCYGCCCATTCTCCTGTAACTTAGATGTCCCTCCCCGTTTTTTTTTTTTTTTGGCGGGTGATGGATGGATGATACTCAGATACTGCAATATACTGCACACGCTGCTGCTACTACGGGGTAGGTGRCAACGACCAGTCGCACTTGCAGACAACACGAACTGATTGTGACTGCCAAGGGTGAGAGAACGGGGGGGCGGGGGTGGGTCGACTRCGCATGTAGTGATGGCCGGCGGGGCCGTACCGCTCAACACGTGGCATGCGCGCCCGTCCGCCATAGGCAGAGAGACACACGAAGAGGAAAGAGGAGAGAGGGTCAGGGTTSAGAATTACGGAGCGCAAACTGATCTGCTGCTGTCGTTGTCTGCAATGCAATGCATCCACGGAGAGRACAGTTGGCGATAACAARAATTGGCCTTAGGAGTGGTGGTAGATAGGTGAATTGTGGAAGGTGAAATTGAGGGCATACTCACACGGGGACCTATAATCCCAAAATCCCAAAAAAAAGGGGACCTATAATCCCAAAATCCCAAAAAAAAGGGGAAAAGGCCGGTCACACGGATCTACCAAATACGCATACGCTAATGTACTATTCCAGTGCCCATTTGTCAGCGGCCTGGGAAGCCGCGGGGCAAGGGATTTTGCGGTCAACTCTGGAGGTGACCGCAAATTCCCTTCTTTTTTTTTGCATTTTCTTCAAAAATTGACAAAAATTCGTTCACAAAAGTTCTAGCACAATTGGTGGATGGCGCCGTGTGACCAGCCAAGTACCGAATCCCCATTTCTCCAGACGGCCGCGACCTTGTCCCATCTGAAAAGGTACAGCAGTGTGACGTGAACCATGCCCAAAACCTCAAATCGGCCCTTCCCAAATCCGCATATTTTGCGGATTTGGGGTCGCCGTGTGAGTATGCCCTGAGAGAAGAATATAGCTTATTAAAATTTAAAAAAAAAAAAAAAAGAGGAAAAAAAGAAGTGGCACTCGGGGAAAAAATACAACAAACAAAAGTGAGAAGAAGCGGGCCGGCTGAGGCGGCCTCACGCTACCAATAGACGTGGGCAACATCAGAGTGGATTGCGGCTGGAGGGGGACTAGGCCGCTGCAGCTGGCTGTCATTTCAGTCATTCTACTCATTCAGTCATATGTTTGTTATGACTACTCATTCAGTCATATGTTTGTTCAGGCTAACAAAGTTCAATGTCCAGGGACGCTGGACCCGGTTTCCAGCAGGTGCTGCTCCCCACCAAGAGATGGAGCCTCCCCGGGAGTGCTAGTGGTGCCTGCTCCTATCAGCACCCCTAGCATTAGCCCGGGTTGTTCTCATTTCAAAAAAAAAAAAGAAAAAAAAAAAAAAAAAAAAGAAGAAGAAGGAGAAGCAAGAACAGTCCTTTGGGACATCCGTTAAAATTGGAACGATACAGAGAAGATTAGCATGGCCCCAGACACGGGTGACACACATAAATCGAGAAATGGCCCAAATAAAAATAAAAAAAAATAAAAAAAAAGGGGGAGGGACCGGCAAGCGTCCGGTAGCGCTGCGCGAGCGCTAGGTCTGCGTTAATTCGGGATGCGAACTTAGCGAACCCCGCGGCCAGCCGGTGCTTGGCGGTGAAGCACGCTCATCGAGTCCGGTGGGCACGAGTTTTGGAAAGATGTGTGTCTCGGTTGGTAGACAACATGGCTGTGCCATGTCCTCGTTAGCTCATACCCTAACCACTCCTTGGTTGGAGGGTGAGTGYCTGTGCACTCAAGGTTATGGGCTCCACCCGATCCCTCCTCCTGGCCCATCTATCTCATCTATCTAACTTACTTTCATCTACACCACTTACCTCAGATATTCTCGAAACAAATCTCTAATTCTAAAACTCTTCGAAGTTGACGATGGTTGGAGACTTGGCTGCTCGAGCCTGCGGTGGCAGGCCCGAGTCTCGGACGTTAAGCTTACAAGAAGGAAAGCATGGAAGGCGGAGCGGCGCATTTGGACGTTGTGGGAGAGCGTGCGGCTGCTGTGGCAGCGCTCAACATGTTATTCGTTAAAACAAGACATTATATTTTAAATTGGTTCTCACTTGCTATTAATTTCAGGTTGAAATCACTATATTTAAGACAATGAAACTTAGGATATGAGTAGTGAAACCAAAAACGCAATTGACAAGTCATAAATAGGAACTGAAGTGAAGATCCAAGACAATCACACACTGAACGAGAATCCATCACACTTGGATAAATTTTGTAACTTAAAATACATAACTGATATGATATTGTCATAAATTGAAACTCAAGTAAACAGTCAATGCAATGAGACACTGAATGAGAAGGTTGAACTCCGGATTTTATCGCACGTCCATCAATTTTGTATGAGCATTGAGTCGGGCGTATTTTACATGACATTGTGGCAATGCGTAAAGTGGAACTCAATCGAGCAATCACACATTGAACGAGATGGTTTAAGTACGGATTCTGTCGCACTTCGATAAACATCCCAATCATGAAGACAATTTAATATTCAACTTAATTGATTCAAAAAAWTAATCAGAGATGAAATAACTGAACCCCAACTTGAATGCTTGAATTGCCATTGTCCGGTCCGACATCAAAACTATGTACAGAGTTGGGGCAATCACATTAAGAGGTTTGAATTGTGTAACTTAATAAATTGAGGCAATCACATGATGGTTTAAGTATGGATTTCATCGCACTTTGATAAATTTTGTAACTCAAAAGACGTAACTGACATAGCGTTGTCATAAATTGAAACTCAAGCGAACAATMAACGCAGTGAGACACTGAACGAGAATGTTGAAGTTCAACTCTGGATTTCATCGCAGATCGATCAATTTTATATGAAGATTGAGTCGAAMGTATTTTACATAATATTGTGACAGACATAAATTGGAACTCAATTGAAGAGTCAAGGCAAGCACACTGTGAACGAGATGGTTTGAGTATGGATTATGTTGCACTTCGATAAACATTGTAAGCATGAAGAGAATTTAATATTGAATTTGGTATGGACTATATCTTCAACTTTCTTGCCAGCTTACGCTAAGGCACTTGCCATGCTATTTGCGCAGCCCTAAGAGGCGGCAAAAAAAAAGTTGCTTCACTTTTATTCTCAGAGGTTTTTCTCCGATAAAACTATAACGAGCCTGCGGATTCACCAATGAATTTGGAACTCCAACTCTAAGCCATTTCCAACATATAGCGAAGCGATTGAACTTTCWYRKTSCCAGSAGAGGGACTCATCTTGAACCCATACAATAAATTCAAGAACTYCAATACTTATCATRGATAGGGGTCAGGAGTTAGTTGTGTTTTCCTACCCTCCGAACCGCACGTGACAATTTAACTTATTGAATTCAAAAAATTAATAAAAGATAAAAGAACTGAACCCCAACTTRAATGTTTGAATTGCCATTGTCCGGTCCGACATCAAAACTTATTTACAGAATTGAGGCAATCTCATGAAGAGGTTCAAATTGTGTTAATTATGARAAAGTGTAGTATGAACTTCATTTGAAAACATAAAACTGCATGCATAGTAGCGAAAAGTTTGTAAACTTAAGATTTCAGTAGGTGTAATGCTACAAGCAACCATGATCTAAACTTTTGAAAAATGTTACCATTTACAAAAGCATCTACGAGCGTCCCTCGCGTCCCATGAGAACCAAACCCGTACAAGGCATTCATTGACGGCCCAAAAACTAGGGTTTCTAGCTCTCCATTCGTCGCCACGTTCGAAAACATGAAAATATATTTCATCCTTATAAACGTATCAACATCAGCGAATGACTTACCAATGGCATCACACACACAGCATGTCACTTGCTCTACCTCACGCCACTTATCACCCTCATCAATTTGAACGACAATTACTAAATCGGACTGTCCGTTCTCGTAGACTCGTAGAGGATACGAGGAGTGTCCATACGGCGACCATTGGTTGTAAGCTTGTTCTTAGAAACAAGCACTACAACATCTACCAAAGTTCGCTTCTGGTTYCAACATGCCACACAKAACCCCAAAAACTCTCACGATAAGCGAGACTTCATTTTCCGGGGAATGCAGTGTGGGACAGTTGGAAAGGCGAATTGTCGGAAGAGGTTGTTGGGGTCAACTACAGAACTTCCTAATGRAAATGCAATTGCAAGACTTGTTCCGTTTCCATAGCCTAGTTCATACTATCCGGCACATATAGGGGTCTACACAGGGAATTCTTCGCTATATATTTATGGACTGGCAGGKTWGAAACCCAAAGGCGCGACGACTTTGGTAGTGAGTGGGCGCTTGCACTAGTGTTTCCGACGATTGACCTTTCCTGCCTATAATGAAAATTTYCAAGTTCGGCTGGATTTGAACTTGCGAGAATAAGGAATCCCCCAACAACGCATTTGCGGGACTGTTGGGCGAATTCTCCTTCTTGGAAGTCCGGATCCCTTCGAACTTGAACTTTTGTCACTACAAGACTATGTGCGGCAATAATATGAAGAACATGCCTCTTGGACCCCGCATCAATCCCTCTAAAGCCCCGATGTGGCATTTCAATGAGGCGAGCACGTGTGCTGGCAACTCTAACGTCTGCACTCGAATTGCGGAATGTGGTAGGCGTGGATTTGCAGGCGGGTGCAATGAAGGATCTGACATAGTGTGATCCTCAAAGTGCGTCGAGATCCGAACTTGTCAGAGATCGGATTTCTGCGACTGCATTGATTTTACTGGCGGAATGTCATCTAAACCGTTTTTGTGTCGACTCCCACAACAACAATTTCGTCCGCCACAGTAGTCGACAATGACAGCCCATGAGTTTCGCGCACCGTCGAACCGCACTGGTGAGAAAAGAGGTTGTTGCGGGGTCGAAGAGACCTGTTTATAAAATTTTGCCTTTTCCCTGTCCTTGTATATAAAATTTTGGCTTAGGGCTAGACGTCCTTGTTTTGCATTTCGACATTTCTTTCGGCTTGGTGTGATGACTCGATTTCTCTCCTTTCCCTTTTCTTCTGTATTCACTCGGTGAGATGGATCCGATGATCTTGTGATGTCTGAGTTCCAGATATTTTGTGCGTCTCCTCGGA